ACTGTGGGTAGGGGACCTTAAAGCTAAAGTAGGAGAAACATTTAGAGGTGTGGTAGGTAAGTTTGGGGTGCCAAGTGTAAATGATAATGGGGGCCCTTTGATTGAACTTTGTATAGAAAGGACTTTGGTTATAGGTAATATATATTTTAAGAAAAAGAGGATAAGTAATTGTACAAGATATGATATAGGGTGTAATGACAGTAGTTTGATGGACTACATATTGGTAGATAAAAGACTGTTAAGTAGACTTCAGGATGTACATGTTTATAGAGAGGCCACAGATATATCAGATCACTTTTTAGTTGTAGCTACAGCAAAAGTAAAAGGTAGATGGGATAAAAGGAAAATAGAAGCACCAAGTAAGAGAGAAGTGAAGGTTTATAAACTATAGGAGAAGGCAGTTAGGGTAAGATATAAACAACTATTGGAGGATAGATGGACTGGTGAGAGTATAGGCATTGGGGTCGAAGACATATGGGGTAGATTTAAGAATGTAGTGTTAGAGTGTTCAGCAGAAGTTTGTGGTTACTGGAAAGTGGGTGTGGGAGGAAAGAAGAGCAATTGGTGGATTGATGATGTAAAGAGAGTAGTAAGGGAGAGAAAGTTAGCATATTAGAGGTTTTTACAAACTAGTAGTGATGCAAGGAGGGAGGAGTATATGACAAGAAAAAGAGAGGTTAAGAGAGTGGTGAAGCAATGTAAAAAGAGAGCATAGGAGAGAGTGGGTGAGATGTTATCAACAAATTTTGTTGAAAATAAGAAAAAGCTTTGGAGTGAGATTAATAAGTTGAGGAAGCCTAGGGAACGAGTGGATTTGTTATTTAAAAATATGAGAGGGGAGTTACTAAATGGAGAGTTAGAGGTATTGGAAAGATGGAGGGAATATTTTGAGGAATTGTTAAATGTTAATGAAGATAGGGAAGCTGTGATTTCGTGTATAGGGCAAGGAGGAATAACATCTTGTAGGAGTGAGGAAGAGCCAGTTGTGAGTGTGGAGGAAGTTTGCAAAACAGTGGGTAGAATGAAAGGGGATAAGGCAACAGGGATTGATGGGATAAAGATAGAAATGTTAAAAGCAGGTGGGGATATAGTTTTTATAGTGGTTGGTGCTTTTATTTAATAAATGTAGGGAAGAGGGCAAGGTACCTAGAGATTGGCAGAGAGTATGCATTGTTCCTTTGCATAAAGGCAAAGTGGACAAGAGAATGCAAAAATTATAGGGGAATAAGTCTGTTGAGTATACCTGGTAAAGTGTATGGTAGAGTTATTATTGAAAGAATTAAGAATAAGACAGAGAGTAGGATAGCAGATGAACAAGGAAGCTTTGGGAAAGGTAAGGGGTATGTAGACCAAGTGTTTCCAGTGAAACATATAGGTGCACAGTGTTTAGATAAGGGTCAAAAGGTTTTTGTGGCATTTATGGATTTGGAAATGGCATATGACAGGGTAGATAGGGGGGCAATGTGGTAGGTGTTGTAGGAGGTAGGTTACTGAAATCAGTGAAAAGTTTTTACAAGGATAGTGATGCTCAGGTTAGAGTATGTAGGAGGGAGATTATTTCCAGTAAAAATAGGCCTTAGACAAGGATGTGTGATGTCACCATGGTTGTTCAGAATATTTATAGATGGGTTGTAAGAGAAGTGAATGCTTGGGTGTTGACAAGAGGTGTGGGGTTAAAAGATAAAGAATCTAACACAAAGTGGGAGTTGTCACAGTTGCTCTTTGCTGATGACACTGTGCTTTTGGGAGATTCTGAGGAGAAGTTGCAGAGGTTGGTGGATGAGTTTGATAGGGTATGTAAAAGAAGAAAATTAAAAGTGAATATAGGAAAGAGTAATGTGATGAGGGTAACAAAAAAATTAGGTGACGAAAGATTGGATACCAGATTGGAGGGAGAGAGTTTGGAGGAGGTGAATGTATTCAGATATTTAGGAGTGGATGTGTCAGCAAATGGGTCTATGAAAGATGAGGTGAATCATAGAATTAATGAGGGGAAAAAGGTGAGTGGTGCACTTAGGAGTCTGTGGAGACAAAGAACTTTATCCATGGAAGCAAAGAGGGGAATGACTCACAAAATCGTAATGACACGATTGCAAACAAACCATACCACTGGTGGGGTTTGAACTCGCTTTCAGAGTCTCAAAACTCTAGACCGTCGCGTTAGCCGCTCATATGGGTGTGAAGCACGGGTGATGAATGTTGCAACAAGAAGGCTGGAAGCAGTGGAGATGTCATGTCTGAGGGCAATGTGTTGTCAGATGTATTGCAGAGAATTCGTAGTTTGGAAATTAGGAGGTGGTGTGGGATTACTAAAACTATTATCCAGAGGGCTGAGGAGGGGTTGTTGAGGTGGTTCGGATATATAGAGAGGATGGAACAATATAGAATGGCTTTGAGAGTGTATAAATCTGAAGTGGAGAGAAGGAGGGGTAGAAGTTGGCCTAGGAAAGGTTGGAGGGAGGGGGGTAAAGGAAGTTTTGTGTGAGAGGGGCTTGGACTTCCAGCAAGCATGTGTGAGCATGTTAGAGAGGAGCGAATGGAGGCAAATGGTTTTTAGGACTTGACATAATGTTGGAGTGTGAGCAAGGTAACATTTATGAAGGGATTCTGGGAAACTAGCAGGCCAGACTTGGGTCCTGCAGATGGGAAGTACAATGCCTGTACTCTGAAGGAGGGGTGTTAATGTTGCAGTTTTATAACTGTAGTGTAAGCACACCTCTGGAAGACAGTGATGGAGTGAATGATGATGAAAGTTGTTCTTTTTTTGGGCCACCCTGCCTTGGTGGGAGAAGGTCAACATGTTAATACAATTAATAATTGAGGTTCCACTTCAATTGTAATCTTAAGTTAGGCTTAAGCTTGCCTGAAATGCTCTGCGTAACCATGGCCTTTCTACATGCATATCAAGTGTCACCCATTTCTATACAAAGAATGTATCATTTAGAAATAAATTTTTGAATTTTTAAATGTATGGAATACATGGACTGTAGAGATGGTCAAATAGCCAAAACACAGATAGTAGGGGAAATAGAACTACTGTAATTTATTTACATATAATGCAGTAATTTCATGCACTGGCCAGGGAGGTATAACATCTTTTAGGAGTGAAGAAGAACAGGATGCGAGTGTGGAGGAGGTGCGTGAGGCATTACGTAGAATGAAAGGGGGTAAAGCAGCTGGAACTGACAGGATCATGACAGAAATGTTAAAAGCAGTGGGGATATAGTGTTGGAGTGGTTGGTATTTTTGCTTAATAAATGTATGAAAGAGGGGAAGGTACCTAGGGATTGGCGGAGAGCGTGAATAGTCCCTTTATATAAAGGGAAGGGGGACAAAAGAGATTGTAAAAATTATAGAGGAAGAAGTTTACTGAATATATCAGGAAAAGTGTACAGTAGGGTTATAATTGAAAGAATTAGAGGCAAGACAGAATGTAGGATTGCGGATGAGCAAGGAGGTTTCAGAGTGGGTAGATGATGTGTAGATCAAGTGTTTACATTGAAGCATATATGTGAACGGTATTTAGATGAAGGTAGGGAAGTTTTTATTGCATTTATGGATTTAGAAAAGGCATATGATAGAGTGGATAGGGGAACAATGTGGCAGATGTTGCAAGTACAGTGGAGCCCCAGTTTACGATATTACAGGTCTCCCTCAACATTCACGTTTTCAACTTTCACGGGCTTCACACATTCGCGAATTCCCAACCGCCAAATTCCCAGCCACCAAATTCCCAGCCGCCAAATCATATTTAAGTTTCCCGCCACCAATGCGAGTCCCTACTACCCTCCCTCCGACCCCCCACAACTGGCAGCCAGCCCTCCCACCACTCAGTGTGGTGAGTATTTTGTTTGTTCATTATTTGCTATTAAACTACAGTATAAATAATGTAAACCCATTCATGACTGCATATTGGAATGGCTATTCGGACAGGTATTAGACGGTGACATCATGTGTTTACTCTTGAACACTGCAAAGAATTAAACATTTCTGCTACAGCTAATAATAACAATAGTAATAATAATAATAATAATAATAATAATAATAATAATAATAAATATGATATAATTGAAGAAGGAAATTGTACAAAAATACGAGGGAGTGGTTGACACATCGTCAGTGTGACTTTGTTTATGCTGGAGTGAACATTAGTCTCCCTGCTCTTCCAAACATTTCACAATAATTCATTGTGTTTGGTGCTTGTAGATTGAGTGTGACTGGAGTGGTAGAGGCAGTGATTGAGGCAATGGTATTTAATAACATACATGTTAATAATAATACATGTTATTAATAATATGTACTATTATTATTTATAACAGATGTTATTAAATACATACATGTTAATAATAATACATGTTATTAATAATAACATGTACTATTATTATTTATAACATATATGTTATTAAATACCACTGCCTCAACCGCTGAGTTATTGTGAAATGTTTGGAAGAGCAGGGAGACTAATGTTCCCTCCAGCATAAACAAAGTCACACTGACGATGTGCCAACCACTTCCTCGTATTTTTGTACAATTTCCTTCTTCAATTATATCGTATTTATTATTATTATTATTATTATTATTATTATTATTATTATTATTATTATTATTATTATTATTATTATTATTATTATTACTATTGTTATTAGCAATAGCAGAAATGTTCGATTCTTTGCAGTGTTCAAGAGTAAACACATGATGTCACCGTCTAATACCTGTCACCCTTGATAAGAAGTGCTCACTCATTGAAACAGGCGTATAGTTTTAAATGATTCATCTTGTCACCATTTTTTTTTTTTTTTTTAAATATTGGCACAATGCCATTTTTTCATTTGTCTGTCTAGTAGAGGTGTATGTATGTATGTATGTGTTTGTGTGTGTACATGTGTGTAGATGCAGGTACAGATTATACATATACAGTATGTATTTTATTAATGTTTGTTATACCACAATGAGATTTCACTTTTAATAACTCCTTATTATATAATGTGCTCTATTTTCAGGGGTGCATTATTACACGTGATAGAGACAACTCCAACATTCTAACTCTCGGATCACAAAAGACTGGATCTGGATCATGGTACCTTGTGGAGACAAATTATGACCACTGGAAGAATCCACCATTTTTTGATGATCGTAGAACACCAGCTAATCGCTGCATGATTGAGAGTGGACAAAAGAATGCATCACTGAGTCTCATTTATAATGTACTTTCAACAAAACCAGTTCTGAATAAGGTCATTATTGTAATGTTTACCTATCTGCCACTATTTGTATCTTCACTGGGATGGACAGGAAGCCTTTTGCATGTGCAGGACATACCCCTACCCCATAAGTTTGCACTTTGAATGTCTGGTACTGCAGTTTGAAAAGCTTGTTGTCCCTTCCTCTTCCATATGTCATGTTATATTTCTTAACCCTTTGACTGTCGAAGGGCCAAATCCTGAAGTTGCTTCTGGTGTCGCAAAATATTCGAAAAAAAAAAAATTATTTTTTCTTATGAAATGATAGAGAATCTTTTCCCGATTGTAAAGACACCAAAAAAACGAAATTTGATGGAAAACTGACGGAATTACGCTCTCGCGAAGTTAGCGACTTCGGCGATATTTAAAAATCGGCAATTTCGCCCACTTTGAGCCCTATTTTCGGCTAATTCCGTTATTCCAGTCAACCAAACTCATAACTATTTCTTCAGAACTCTATTTTTTCTATCGATTGAGTACAAGAAACTGCCCATTTACCGATTTCAACTACCCAATAACATGGTCAGAAATTTGCAATTTGGCCAATTTCACGATAATTAAAAAATACGACAATTTCAAAATAAGGTCCAGAATGAACAATGCAGACATTCCTGGCTCTAAAATAACATTTTCTTTGTTCATCAGTCATGTCTCCAGGTCCCTGTGATATTACTCTTGCTTTTTATTTTGAAATTTTATTCAAACAAAAAATAGAAGATTTACTGTTATGCAGACTACTGCAATACTGTAATAATTGTAAAAATTACATCAACCCATTCATGACTGCGTATTAGAATGGCTATTTGGACATTTATTGGACAATGACATCATTTGTTCACTTTTGAACATCGGCAAAAATCAAACATTTCCTGTACTTTGTGCTCCATTTCCAGGTTCTTTTTATAGTAAAATTAATCAAAATCACCTCCATTTCTATAATATAGTTTCCATTCTATCAAATGAGACCAAGAAAACGAGAATACAACCACAAATACTATACGAAAATAGACCACAAAGTCGGCATTTTAATTAAAAAAAACGGTCGGAGTTTTTTTTTTCTCATTATGCACTGCGTGCTCCAGGATTTTTTTTATGTGGTGCACACTGACCACACAGACCCATTCTCTCACATGTGGGCCTACTAGCTTTCTCCTGCCTGATTTGAAGCCGCTAGAATTTATGAGTATATATACGTCAAACACGGTACCTCGCAAACGTATATATACGGCCGCGACAGTCAAAGGGTTAAGTGGGATTAGGGATTTTCTTTATCTACTAGTTCTGAAAAATTGTTGAATAACCTAAATAAAATAATTGGTTAGTTCTATTAACACTGGATTATCAATGTTCTGCTTTACCAGTGTGATAATGGTGTTGGTATTTCATTGGTTATTGTTGAGGTGGTTTGGTCATTTAGAGAGAATGAATCAAAGTAGAATGACATGGAGAGCATTTAAGTCTGTAGGAGAAGGAAGGCGGGGTAGGGGTCGTCCTCGAAAAGGTTGGAAGGAAGGGGTAAGGGAGGTTTTGTGGGCGAGGGGCTTGGACCTCCAGCAGGTGTGCATGAGCGTGCTCGATAGGAGTGAATAGAGACGAATGGTATTTGGGACCTGACGATCTGTTGGAGTGTGAGCAGGGTAATATTTAGTGAAGGGATTCAGGGAAACCGGTTATTTTTATATAGCCGGACTTGAGTCCTGGAAATGGGAAGTACAATGCCTGCACTCTAAAGGAGGGGTTTTGGGATATTAGCAGTTTGGAGGGATATGTTGTGCATCTTTATATATATATGCTTCTAAACTGTTGTGTTCTGAGCACCTCTGCAAAAACAGTGATTATGTGTGACTGAGGTGAAAGTGTTGAATGATGATGAAAGTATTTTCTTTTTGGGGAGTTTCTTTCTTTTTGGGTCACCCTGCCTCAGTGGGAGACGGCCGACTTGTTGAAAAAAAAAAAATTGCTGGGGATTCATATTGTGCAAAACTATCAGTGGACTAATTAGTTTTTATTGCTGAGATGTGATAATTAATGTAGGCACTGGGAGGAATTTTATGTAGCACTGATTCTTGAGACACATTCCTTGCATCAGCATGAAATGTTTCTATGAATCCTGTTGCCTAAGAAATTCAGTAATGGCCATTCCATGTCCATAGAAAACGAAAGTACTGCATGTACAGTTTTTCCTGGTGTTCTTCGTACACCGAAGTTTTAATTAATGAGATGGTTGATGATGTGACTAAATCTGCTATTCACGTCCTTTGTGTGGCAGTCATGTCTCGGTAGTTATACAGGCAACAACACTAAAAGAAAATGGCATGCTCAGTGGGACTTGCACATGATAAATAATGTGTAAAAAACTTTGATCTACTTTTTTTTTTTGTTATATTTGAAAATATGTAAAAAAAACGTAGATCTACTTTTGCAGCACTACACATGTGAACATAGATCTGCTTGGACCGTTTATGGGTTAAACTCATGTGGGTTGTGCATCACAAGGAGTGGTGGAGGCTTAGTCTGGACTGTTTACAAACGTCACGCCAGAAAGTTGAACCACTTTCACACCACACAGCTCAGAAAAATTCTCGGCATCAAATGGCAAGATAAGATCCCAGACACAGAAGTGCTGACTACAGCTGGCCTGCCTAGCATCTACACCATCCTAATGCAGACACAGGTTCGCTGGGCAGGTCACGTTGCTCGCATGCCAGACCACCGGCTGCCAAAGAAACTCTTGTTTGGCGAACTGCGCATGGAAAGCGCTCTCAAGGAGGCCAAAAGAAGCGCTACAAGGACACCCTTAAGACTGCTCTGAAAGCTTTCAACATCAACCACACCATGTGGGAGCTGATAGCTCAGGACAGGAATGACTGGCGAGCAGTTGTCCAGAAAGGGGCAACATCCTGCAAGGCAAGCAGAATCTCACTAGCTGAGCAGCGCAGGCAGGCGAGGAAGACCAGAGCCATCAGACCCCTCGATGCCGCCACCCTTCCCTGTCCACACTGCTAGAGAACGTTTCGTGCACGGATTGGCCTGACAAGCCATCTGCGTACCCACCAGCTTCGACCCCAGGATGACTAGATGGTCCTCGTCGAATCGACGGATAAACAACAACTAATCTAGCCTCTAGCTCGGTTGCTAGCACACTCGGCTCACACACTGAGGTCCATGGTTCAATCCCATACAGGTGGAAACATTAGGACATGTTTCCTTAATATGCCTGCTGTCCATGCTCACCTATGAGTAAAATAGGTACCTGGGTGTTAGTCGACTGGTGTGAGTGGGGGCCTGGGGACAAAATTGACCTAATTTGCTGAAAATGATCTGCATAACAAGAGACTTTCTTTATATTAGTATGTCATTGATGTCAACTAGGCCTGTATACATTGTGTATGTGGAGAGTGTTCCAAGGGTCAATGTCCCCATGGCCCGGTCCATGACCAGGCCTCACAGTGGATCAGGTCCTGATCAACCAGGCTGTTACTGCTGGCTGCATGCCACACATACTTGTCTGCTCGAAAATCTGCTCGAAATGCCTAGCCATGCTAGGTGTCCTAGTGGCCCCCTCTGTAATTAGTATTTTATAACATGTAAACCACAAAATACCCAAAACCTGTAAACCCCACATTGTAACCATTATAGAGAATAAACTTGAATTGAATTGAAATTAAATTATATTATTATTAATCCAGGCCTGGACTCTGACCAAGACTCATTAACAGAATTCATCACTTTGAAACAGTTCTGTGTTGATTGCTGACAAGTCACACTTTGCTTTATTAGAAAGGTGCCTGCTCGCAATCTCTAGGTGCATTACTGTAGAACATATTTTTAATTAATGCTATGACCAGTATTTAGGAAGTTTAGATTTTAAATATTCATTTCTTAATTACTGTACCTTGGTAACTCTATGAATATAAGCCAAATTTTAGGTAATAACTGTTGCGTCAATAATAATAAGAAATTAGAAGGTGGTGTGGGTTTACCAAAGATATAATTTGGGGGGCATAGAAGGGGTTGTGGAGATGGTTTGGGCATTTAGCAGAATTGGATGACTAAGTGGGTGTATAAATTTGGGGTGGAGGGAATGAGGGGTAGGGATCATCCCAGAAAAGATTGAAGGGAGGGGATGAAGGAGGTTTGTAGTGATATGGGCTTGAGTATTTATCAGGATTTTGTGTGTTTTAATTGGAGTGAGTGAAGACTAAATTCTTATTATGGTGTAATGTGCTGTTGGAGTGTGAGCAAGGTTGCCTTTAGGAAGGGATTCAGGAAAAATTGGTTAGCTGACCTTGAGTTCTGGGGATGAGAGGTGCCTGCACTCAGAAGGAGATATAGAGATGTTACAGTTCAGAGGGTTATTTGAATTGTGATGTGCACTTTTGGGAAGAAAGATATTGAATGATGGTGAATGCATTTCCTTTTGTATTGGGGGATGGGTCACCCCATGTTAATGGAAGATGGCCAGTATGATAAAAAGTAAACTAATGCAACCTAATTTACTTTAAAATATTATGTAATTTACTGTATTTATTTTTATTTAGTATTTTTATGTCAAACAGCACTGAATGACCTTTAGGTCATGACATTTCTAAATATCACACACCAGTCAAAACCAGCCTCTTCCATCAGACAGGCCCCATACAGTTCATATTCAGTGTTTTATCTTTTCCAGTTGCATGCCTAGTAGTGTGTATTTGGAAAATACCTACCAGTATATTCTGCCTTTTTCAGGAAACTGTGTATACGTCTGTAATGGATGTCAGATCAGGTCAGCTCCAGGGATGGATCCGCCAGTGCCCTGACCCTTGTTGGCCTTGGTGAAGATCTTTAGTGCAGTATACTGAAGTTGGATAATTCTTATATTATCATTACATGCAGTAATTTATGATGTCATTGTTCCAAGATTTTCTTTAGTTAGCCCATAAAGTTCTGTATATGATTTTCATTTGTTTCAAATATACTTTCATATGATAAATTTAGCTCATTGGAATTAGTGTACTATTCAGTATTATCCTTTTTATTTTGCTTATTGTCATATATCAGTCAGCAGCATAATGAAACAATATCAAATGGGCCATTATGCTCATATTGTTTACATTTGTGTTGTATAGTATCTTAAACAGTTATTATGTATGCTAGTAGTACTTTATTTGATAATATTTGACGTTAGAATTAGAGAACAGGTAAAAAGCAACATCAACACCTTATACCCATTGTTGGTTTTCCAACACACTGTTCCCTAAGCTGCTTCCCTATACACATACATTAGTTTATTATTAACTTATCCACTTCTTGCAGAAAGCAAAACCAAAAATATGACTGTAGGAGCGTGAAATCTTGATGTAACAGCAGCTGGATAAACACTGAAAAGACACTTGAGTTAAGTGAGCATAAGAAAACCAATGTTTTCTTCAGTAGTGAACATGGTTTTTTCCATGTTCTCTGATTCACTTTTAAATGCACGCTGTCTTAGAAATATAGGTTTCACCTGATTATGCACTGTTGACTTGATTTTCAACAATAGACAATATTAGAAAGAGTTTTTCATTGTGCATTTCTCTGGTAATGTTTACAAAACAAAACAAAATTTTTTCTGTAGATGCAGTAACACCTTACCAGTTTTCCAGAACTCTGAAGCTCAGTTAATTTGTCAGAAGCTCAGAAAGTATAGTAAATGAGACTCACTACAAATTGTAATTGTCACTTAACCATCTATTAACCCTTTGGGGGTCGACAGGCCCTCTCCGAGACTCGTTCTCAGGGTCGGCCAAATTTAAAAAAAAAGAACAAAAAATTTGTTATGAAAAGATAGAGAATCTTTTCCCGATCATAATGACACCAAAAATATGAAATTTGATGGAAAACTAACGGAATTATGCTCTCGCGAAGTTAGCGGTCTCAGCGATGTTTACGCATCGGCGATTTTGCCCACTTTGAGCCCCATTTTCGGCCAGTTCCACTGTACTAGTCGACAAAAAGCATGAATATTTCACTAGAACTCCATTTTTTCTATTGAATGAGTGCAAGAAACCACCCATTTACCAATTTCAACTATCCAGTACGGTGGTCGGAATTTAGAAATTTTGCCAATTTCACACAAATTTCAAAAGATGCCAATTTCCGAATAGGGTCCAAAACAAACAAGAAATACATTCCTGGCACTAAAATGACATTTCCTCTGTTCATTATTCACGTCTCAAGGCCCCTCTTACATTCTTTTGCTTTCCACTTTGAATTTTTATTCTCACAAAAAATAGAAGATTTACTGTTATGCAGACTACTGCATTAGTGTAAAAAATGGTATGAATCATATTGGCGCACTTGCAAAAGAATATTAGACTCACCAGTTGACGTGTATTGGACGCTTGGCATGATATGTTTACTTTTGAACTTTGGTAAAAATCGAACATTTCTGCTACTTTGAGCTCAATTTCAAGGCACTTTTCATTGTAAAACCAGTCAAAATCATCTCAATTTCTGTGATATGCCTTCCATTCTATAAAATGAGACCAAGAAAACTAGAATACAACAATAAATACTATACGAAAATACAGTGCAAAGTCGCTGTTTTATTCCAAAAAAAAATGGTCAAAGTTTTTTTTTCTCATGCACTGTGTGCTGCAGGATTTTTTTTATACCATGCACACTGACCACATAGACCCATTCTTTCATATGGAGGCCTACCCGCTTTCTCCCACTAGATTTGAGGGCGCTAGAATTTAGGCGTACTAGTACGTCAAAAACCCTGAGTCGTAAGCCGTACTAGTATGGCCGAAACCCTCAAAGGGTTAATATAGGTGCTGTAGAGTACTTCATTACATTCAGGTTATAATAAATGTTGTAGTGTACTCAGTTGTGCTTGCATAAATTGTAGCAAAGATGTTACTCCTTTCAAATAGTATTATTATTTTTCAAATTCTCATATGATATTATTCTGATTTCAAGTGCAGTATTCAGATTTTGAGTGGTTTCTGTGATATAATTATAGATATAGGCACTCTACTTAGAAATAGACACCGTATGGTAATTGGACTTGTGCTCCTCTACCTAAGATCAAACCTGACCATCTCATTCCTAAGCACTATATAAATCCTGTGAGTCATATGGTACTTCCTTATAAATATAACAATAATAATAATAATATGCTTTTAATGAACCAGCTGTCTCCCACTGAACTTAGTGATCACCATCTTTTTGAAATGACATTATTCACACTAGTGAGGTACATACACTATACACAAATAACCCGCACATAAAAGAGAGAAGCTTACGACGACGTTTCGGTCCGACTTGGACCATTTACACTCATACACTCAGGTATATACATGACCTTCATCCTCTCTACCATATTTGCTGAAGATGGTTGAACTCGGAGACAAAAATATTCTGCACTCATTTCACCTTATGTTTTTGTTTATTTCTATCTCCATGTAGGTTTTTGTGTTATTTTGGAGTGGATAAATATGCTTAAGCAGTATGGGGTGACATACATTAGTGTTTTTGTCTTTTATATATACTTGTATGAAGATATTCACAAGTTGGAAAATTAATTATTGTGTGTAAAAATTTTTGAGTCTAAATTCAGCACAGTAATTACACATTACCATTCTTAGAGTGAATAAATGATGAGAGTTGTTCAGTCAGGTTAAATTCTGTTGGATCAGGCCAGTTACTGGGTAGGTGACTGCTTCATCCCTTATCTAGAAAGATCTTGAGGAGCCATAGTCTTCCTGGGTATACTATGTTGTATACATAGCTAGCATGTACATTGGGTACCAGTAGCTGATGATAATTACTCTGTTGATTTAATACCTATTTTTTGCCATGACTTCACGAATCGATTTTTGCACTAAGGCAGTTATAGAGATTGATGACACGTTTATTATATACTCTGTAAAATTTTTAAGTATGTAATTTTTGTACGGGGTCCTCGTTGTTCGTAATTATCCATTTCCGGGAAAGCCATTATTAAACGAAATTTCGATTTACAAATCAATTTTCCCTAAAAAATAATGTAAATCAATTAATCCGTTCCCTGATCCCAGGAAGTTTTTTAAACAAAAAAATTTTTACATGAAATTTTACATGAGTACATAAACATTAAGGGAAAATGATGAATGAAACTTTACCAGCAAAACCCACTTACCTTTATTTGGGAAGATTCTTTCTTGTGTATGGGAGACTGGAGGGGAGAGTGGTTGTTTTAGTTTGGGAAGGGAATCCTCCATCAACACCTCAGGTACCATTTGCTTTTCTGGGGTTGCTTCTCTCTCTGTTTCTTAATCCCACTGGACCACCTTGAGAGTCACTGGAGTCCCTGTCTCACAAAATAACTGTGGAGAGAGCTCGTTCGGCTCTCTTTAACACTTCCCTAAAATGGCCCAAGACTTGTCACTGTACATTTGGCCAACCTGGCTTGCAACCCTTGTTAGGTGTTTTTCCCTCCATAAGCTTTCCATCTTACCCTACATAGTAAAAATCTCTTTATTTCTGAAGAGGCACCTTCTCCATCTCTCTTCCCTCCTGCAGCAGATTCTGGCTGGTGTGTTGCTCTTCCGCTGAGCTCTTGCAATCCTCAGTGGTGAGTCTTCTGTGGTCTCCCCCAATTTTCCCCACCTCCAAACTCACATCCAGCCCCATGGAATCCCAGTGCCACAATTGATTTTACCCCCGGACTTTAGGCTCATTAGGGTCAGTCCCAAATCCTTCAAAATCCCTCTTGTTGACACAATTCTGGCCACAATTTTTCCAGGCGGAGTTCAAAGTCTGGTAGTCACCCCCTCCCAAGCCTTACCTATAAGGGTTTTTGCAGTGGAGGATGCTGAAGTTTCTCTCCAAAATTCCCTTGGGGGGTCAAGTGAGTGTCTGTGGTCACGTAAAAGCACCTGTGAAACATTGCTTTTGTGTAGAGTTTTTTAAAGTTTGCAATAACCGCTGGTCCTGGGTTGGAGGAGGGGAGTGGTATTCGGGGGCAAGAACTTTACTGTGATGAACCCAAATCCTCGAAAATTAGGTCATCTAAGTTTGGAGGATGGGGCAGGTGCATTGTCCATTACTAGCACGCACTTGAGATCCAATTTCTTTTCCAGGAGATACACCTTCACACTGGGGCCCAAAAACACTTCTTGACCACTCGACAAAAATTTCCCTCGTGACCCATGCCTTACTATTAGATTTTCCAAAAACAAAATTTTTATCTTCTTTAACTTTGGTTTTTCCTGAACACTTTGGGATTTTCAGAATGGTACATAGTAATGGCTTCACTTTGAAATCCCCATAGCATTAGCGCAGAACATTAGCGTCAGCCTGTCTTTCATAGGTTTTATGTCCTGGCATTGCCTTTTCCTCTTGTGAAATGAAGGTCCTCTTTGGCATTTTCTTCAAAAGGGGCCCTGTTTTGTCACAATTGAACACTTGTTCAGGTTTCAGTCCTTCCACTGTTTATGTACTCCTGGAATTCATACACAAATTTTTCAGCCGCCTTGTGGTCCGAACTGGCAGCCTCCCATGCCTTACCAAAATGTGTATGCCAGTACATTCTTAAATCTCTCAAACCAGCCTTTGCTGGCCTTAAATTCACTCACTTCACCACTATTTGCAGGCAATTTTCTTTACCAAATCTTCATGCAACTGCCTACCCTTTTCACAAATAAACGAAGTCATAAGGGGTATCTCCTGCTAATTGTTTCTCATTATCCACACCAATAATAACTTCTCAACCTTTTCCCAGTACTGGTGATCTCATTTTTTGTCAGCATAGTTACTCCCTTTGCAACAACGCATCCTTTATTTCATTTTTCTTGGCACTATGGAACATAAGGTTGTGTAGGGTTTCTTTTTACATCCTGGACAGTTCGGCCACACTTGTACCACTTTCTATTGTTCAATGATGGTTTTTTAAAATTCAATCGCATTTCTCCCCTTCTTTACCACAGGCTTGGCACTAGGAGCTTTCTTTGGAGCATGGTAGCTTATTTAGTACTTGCAAGCACTAAAATAAATGGAATATTATGAAATATTTCGCTGGGGCACGCGAGGGGCCCTTCGCTCACTGGTAAGCAATGCCAGACTGGCTGCTGCCCTGGCTCACGCCGTGCGTATGCGTCCGGACGAATTTAAAAACTTGCGAGTAAACCTATAAAAAGGGAAAGCCCCATGTTTATACGAAAATACCCCTATGATTGGCGAATTTTCGTTGCTGGGAACTACGAAAAGGGGGGGGACCCTGTACTAGTAATTTTTTTGTTTAATATTTCTGCAATTACATTTTTGATTTGTATCCCCAAATTTTTCAAATAGTTCCATTTAAACAAATTTATGTATCCTATGTTACAGACATTTACTTGCAAGGAGATTACCTGCTTTATATGTTCTCAACTTGCAGCCCACAGGTTTCCGTCTTTGAATTATGAGAAAGAGGATCGTGCCCTCTTCACTAGCTTTCTCTTGTACAGATCAGTCCCTCTAAAGACACTTGATGTAATTAAAGTATTTTTTCTTAGCCCTGGTAGGGTCCTTCAGTGGAGTCTGAAGACCTTTATGGGTTATTTTAAGCATTTTTAATGGTGTGTAAGTGAAATTTTGTCTTTGGTTATCCTTTTGTAAGCGACCACTCCATAAAAGTTTGTCGTTAATTTTTTTAAAAGGTACACAATGTTACAAAAGACGACATGAGAGTGGCTATGATGTTAAAATTGTTTAATGTTTAAAAATTGATAATGTGTTTAAACCCCACGAGAGTGGCTATGATGTTAACTTGTTTATATTGTTTAATATTGATAATGTGTTTAACCACATGAGTGGCTATGTTGTACTTGTTTAATGTTTTCATATTGATAATGTGTTTAACCACATTAGTGTGGCTATGGGTGTTAACTTGTTTAATGTTTAATATTGATAATGTGTTTAACCACATTGTGAGTGGCTATTAGGTTAACTTGTTTAATGTTTAACATTGATAAAGTGCTTAACAAACGTGAGATTGGGGAATAGTGTTAACTTTTTAATGTGACATAATGTTATCGTGTTTAACCACGTGAGAGTGGCTAGGGTTTCAACTTGTAAAAGGGGCGGTGGTGGTTGTGGAAGTGTTGGGGTGTCAGTGTTCGCATCAGTGTATTGTGAAGATCTTTGTGATTATGTAAAAACTGTGTTTCTAGGTAGATTGTAGGTTGTGTTAGGTTATTTTTAAGGTAACATTGTATGTATGTTCACTCAGTGGACGTTGTAGTTTCTAGTTTACCTGGAGAGAGTTTCGGGGGTCAACGCCCCCGCGGCCCGGTCTGTGACCAGGCCTCTAGTGTTGAATGTTCTGTCATACATGTACCATTTTTAATGGTTTCTTTATATTGCATCTTGTAATTTCAGTTTTAAATAAAATATAAAAAAAAAAATTCTGGCAGTTTGGGGACCCACAGATGATGATCAAACTAAATGCAAATTATGTGATGTGCATTTTGGTCACTGTCTTGAACACTATGTGCTTAAATTGTCCCCTTATTGAGGATTACACAGACAGACAGTATAATAGCCTAAAGCGGCATGTCAGATATCTTATTTTTATTAATAAGATACCAGATATATTAAGCAAATTTCCTAAATTGGCTTGTAACAGATAAGTGAATGTAGATAAAAAAAACCCTATGTACCCTGTTAACCCTTTTGGGCCTAGTTCCTAGGCATTTTGTGTATCCATTGCTCTTGCGCTACCCTCCACGGATGGATATGGGGTGCGCAAAAACTAGCCACTTCGGTGGCAAAATCTGAAAAAAAATCTGTGTGGAAGACAATGTTAGCTGTTTAACAGGGAAGTGGAGGTGAATGGGGTAAGGATTTCACTTTGCAAAAATGGATGAAGCGTAGTAATGGCGTCTTTGTGACTTGAGTCTTGCCTGTAGAACCAATGTATGCTAAGAAGACAAGAGATGCTGGCAAGGTGTGCGTCGTTCACTACAGTTCTATCAGGACAAAAACAAAAGCAGAATCGAGGAAGCAGCTACTGTTGCTTTAAACAAAGGGGAAAGTTTTTTTTATATATTTTTATTTGAAAACCTTACAAAGTACAAAGGATGCATAACAAAAGTAAATGATACAAAGACATAAAGTTTCCGCTACTAGTACCAGGGTTTTTCCTGGAGATGACAAGTATTTACCAACAGCCTGTTATAACAAACATTACACGCAAAGACAAAATCACTAAATCATTAGTTTATTGATGGGTACCACCACGCAATTGTGAACAATGAAACTCACCAAAGGGAAAACTTTACATGGTTTTACTGTAAATTATGAGTACCTTGTCATAAACTATTAACACAAAAACAACATACAAAAAAAGCACAAATTCACAGGGTCTATAGCAACGGTAGTAACACATGACTAAGCCATAGTCACTGTCACACACAAATATATAATACACAAATCATGACAGTAAAGTAAAATGACCCTAACAAAAGCTACCCTAAACAAATTTTCAAAGAAACAAAACCCAACATACCCCCTTTTTACAGGGTACAGTGTATTGGTTAAAGTTGTGTTACGTTATCACATAACCAATAGTAATTCGGAAGGAACGAATGAT